ATATATATATATTTATATATATATATATATATATATATATATTTATATATATATATATATATATATATATATATATATATATATATATATATATATATATATATGTATATACATTTATATATATATATATATATATATATATATATATATATATATATATACATAGATTTCTTTGTTTATATATATATATATATATATATATATATATATATATATATATATATATATATATATATATATATATATATATATATATATTTATATATATATATATAAATTTCTATATTTATATCTATATATATATATATATATATGTACATATATATATATATATATATATATATATATATATATATATATATATATATATATATATATATATATATATATATATATATATATATATATATATATATATATATATATATATATATTTATATATATATATATATATATTTATATTTATATATCTATATATATATACATACATATATATATATATATATATATATATATATATATATATATATATATATATATATATATATATATATATATATATATATATATATATATATATATATATATATATATATATATATATATATATATATATATATATATATATATATATATATATATATATATATATATATATATATATATATATATATATATATATATATATATATATTTATATATATATATATATAGTATAATAGTTTTGCTTTTAATGTTTTTAATTCGACTAAACTTTGTATATTATATTTCTTTACAAACTTGTTTTAATTTTAAAAATTAATAGAGGATGGAAATATTATAGGGTTGTTTTTTTTTTTCATTTAAATTTATTATATTTGCTATTAGTTTTTTTTATGTTTTTTCCTAAGTTTTTATTAAATGCCTCAAAACTTTTAATTTTTAGTTTATTGCATCATTAAAACCATTTTTTTTAACTTAATTTTACGTTTTATCAATTTATCAATTAACAGGCTTGGTCGGGAAGCGGGAGCGATCGCCCTCGATTGCTGACCACGTAAATAATATTTAGTTGCGAAAAGCTGGCTAGATTTTTTAGTCATTTTGAGAACATTTTAAAAAGCAAAAACAAAAAAGCGACTAAAATAAATTGGACCGATGAGAGACAATTACAAAAATAAAAATGTAGGTAAATAAAATATCTTTAAACGCGAAAAAACCTTAAGCTAAATAAATTACATTTAGAACAAATACTTTCTAAACATCGATTTTTTATAATTTTTTTTATAAAATTAAGCGATGTTTTTTATATAAAGTAACAACTTACGATCGTTTAAAAGATAAACAAATATTCTTTATTTAACTAAATTTAAAAGTTTTAGTTTTACTTAAGCTTAATTTATTTTATAAAAAAGTATTTATAAATAAAAAAGTTAATTTTTTGAATACCTATTTTATGTTTCGCGTAGTTTGAAAAGTTTAACATATTTGAAGCGATTCTTCTTAGTAAGATAAACAAAAGAAAAAATTAAATCATTAAATTGTTATAGGAATTAAATAATCAAGATAGAAATCAACTAAAAAGGTTAAAAACACTTAATGACCAGGAAGCGAAACTGCTTCACAATATCGCTAATGATGTTTAGTAAGTGGGCTTTTTAATTTTAATTAGTATTTAAAGCAGAAAAAAGTATAACGAGTTTTAAGAATGGCAACTTAAGCGAAAATAATTAGAGTTAGTAAACCAATATCTAGAAACTTTTCTTTATATCTAAATATTTGCTATTATATATTTGTGTTCTGTCGTGACCTCAGTTACTTTGTATGCGTTGTTTGTGTTAAGTAACCAGAAACTTCTTATATGTTTGTTACATAATTAGTTTTATCAACTTTAACGATTATAACTTCATTAAAAACGCAATTATTTTTGTAAGTCTTTGTTTAAATCATAAAAATTGCTTTAAAAGATACATTACGATATAAAACAAATACACAAAATTACATTTACATAAAGAATACAATCTTATTTAAAATAAAAAATAAGAATATACAAATAAAATCCATGATTTATAATAAACTTTTAAAATTTTAACATTTTAATTAATACATATTTAAAACATTTATTTTGGTAAACAAATAATATATATTCTTAAAACAATTCTACAAATCTCAAAACGTAACAAATCGTGAATAATACAATTTCTAAAACATTTTAACAGAATACTCTAGAACTTTATTTCGCTTAATCAGCGTATTTTTTGAACCAATAGTATTAGTTTGTTTGTTAATTTGGCGGGTTTTTAGTGTTCGCAAATATTCTTTTTATTCTTTCGCACAAAGATGTTTTGAGAACATTCAAGTTTGTTATGTTTCCATGTATGTCCGTAAAACAAAAATTCTTTGTTTCGTACATAAACTTGAATGTTTTCAAAACGACTAAAAAACCTGGTCAGTTTTACGCAACTAAATATAATTTCCGTGGTCAGTATTCGAGAGCGATCGCTCCCGCTTCCCGACCAAGCCTGAACTTATCAATTTATAAAAGCTAAAGTTGTTTTTTTGTTATGCTTGTTTACATTGTATTGATATATTTTTTATTTAAAATAATATTTTATTAGTATAAAGATCATTTTATTAGTTTACTATTATACTGCTATAATTTTTATAATAACTAAATAAACTGCTATAATAACTTAAATAATTGCTATATCTTTATATTTTAATTAAAATAACTAAGTTTTTATTTGGTATGAAACTGCTTAATAAAGATGTATTTATATTTAGAAAAAAAAAAAAATGTTTTTTTTTTTATTTACAAAATTATTTTTTTCTTTTAAGTATTAACTTCTTAACTCTTTCTGACAAAGTATCCAGTTTTTTTTGTCATTGTTGCTTATTTTTTTGTAGTTTTATTGTATATTTTTAAGTTATCAAATTGCATATTATTAGCTGCCTCAAGTAAATGGGATTCATGGAGTTCATGGGAGTTTGAAGATAAAACTCCTAATGCATTTCGAAGACGCAACTGTAGTCTTTTTGTTGATGAAAATAGTAATGAAACTCAAGATTGCATGCTTGGTAAAGGATCATTATATACTTTATATATATCTTTATATATACTTCATTATATATTTTAAATAATATATATATATATATATATATATATATATATATATATATATATATATATATATATATATATATATATATATATATATATATATATATATATATACACACACACACATATATATATATATCAGGCCTTGCGATGAATAAGAGCTGCGCGAGGCATAAGCACGACGTGATTTTTGACGTCATTAAATTCTTTTTATTTGCTTTTCATATTTATCGACATTAACTGCACCAATTTATTTAATTACCGCAAAACTACTTTAAATCGTTTATGTAGAAATGTTATTATTTAAAAATGTTTTGGAATGTTTCGTTTTTTAAAATGTAAAAACATTTGTTTATTTTCTCGAGTTTGTCACGTTTTGTCTATACTAAACGAATAAAAAACATTATAACTTAAATTTAAAAAAGATTATAAAATATGCTAATATTTGATTTTTTTTTTCTTAAATATGTAATTTAAAGTTTTTCAAATAATTATTTTTTCTTTTTAAAAAGTCAGCGAGTAATAAACTGGAAATTTTAATATTGTACGATTAAAAACTGTGCAATAGCTAATATTTTTACAAGCGATTTTATATAATATTTATTTATTTATTTTTATTTATTTTCATAAAGCGGTTGATAAGCACAATCACTCGTATTAATAAAAAACTTAAACGAACGTTTTAAATAGATTTTTAATGTTAACAAGGAATTTTATTTCTAGTAAAATAAAATAAAATGTTAGAATAAAAATCTTATAGGTATAAAAGAAATATTTTAGCGAAAAAATTATTCTTAAAAATTATTCTTAAAAATTATTCGAAAAACTATTGACGTTCTATTTTTCAGCAGCTGTTCTTGAGCACGCTTCGATGAGTTTCGGTAACTTTTAACATAAAAGCGATCGTTATTATTTAAGTAATTTTTTTGAGTTCTTTTTACAAAAATTTTAATAACTGTACTTTTTCATTGAATCAAGTAGAATACGTTTTAATATTAATCTTTTTTTTTTTTTATTTGCCCTCACCAATTTTTTTCCTCGAAATCACTCTTAAATACTTTAAATACGTCTAACAGTTAATAAATATTTTTAAATCTATGGAATAATTTTAAAACCTATCAAACCCCTGTAAAATAATTATTTAAGTTTAAAATCTAAAACTAAAAAAAAGTATTTTTGTTCAATTTTATCGACAACGTTGCTATTGCTGAATAATTTTATTAAAATGTTAGCTTAAAAGATTTAAACTTTTTTTTTTAATTTTTGAATTTTTTCTACTTGAAAATAATGAGCATATTTAATTTTTTTAAATTCAAACTTTTATTTCAACTGCATGCGGTTTTTAAAATACTTGATTAAATGTTAAAATAATCGTCAATTACTTCATTAAAATTCCGCTCAAAAATATCTTTAAATATACTCAAACAAAAAATTTTTTGCTCGACGCAAATAGCCCTAGCTACACGCAAAATCGCCCTTGGACGACGTAAAATTCACATCGCCCGACGCTTTATCGCAAGGCCTGATATATATATATATATATATATATATATATATATATATATATATATATATATATATATATATGTATATATATATATATATATATATATATATATATAATATATATATATATATATATATATATATATTATATATATATATATATATATATATATATATATATATATTTATTTATTTATTTATTTATTTATTTATTTAAACCAAAAAAACCCAATAACCCTACCTTAAATAAACCCAAAAAAAAACAAATAATTGGGTTTTTTTGAATTTCTATATTATAACTGAAAAATCTGATTTAAACACTTATAAATGCTTTATTATCTACAAGTGCAACTTTTATAATCTAAATACACTTGTAAACACTTTATATACAACACATTTATATACAAAATGGTATTTAGAATATAATTTTTAGTTCAAACTATTTACAGAATAATTTATAAGTTAAATATCAAAAAATATTGAAATATGTATTAAACTATTAAATTAGTTAGATATTTAAAAATAAAATAAAAATCATTCTATTAACTAAATTTTAAAGTACAAGACATTACTTGTTATTTAGTATCTTTACTCTCCCCTCAAATGCCTATATTTTTAAACAAATGTTTTATATATGTCATTTTCTATTGGTATTTGATCTTTATTTTTTAAAGCTTTTTAAAGCAGAACAATATATTTGAAAAATGTTAAACTTTATTCACAGCTTAGAAATGGGAAGTTGCCATTCAAAAAAAATATGCTACAGTTTACTAGACTGTGGACCTATCCTTGTTAAGTGAATACAACTTCAAAACATAAAAAAAAAATTATGTTATGTGCAAGCATGTTTGTAACATGTTTGCTCATTCAATGAGAGAACATGTTGGAAACTTGTATGCATTTTACAAGGACAAGATTTATTGGTGAAAATGATATTCATGCTCATCTGTCTATTTTACTGGTTTTAAATATTTTATATCAGCTACAAGTTTACAACAACTACCATCAACAGGAGTGACTATGAATATGGGGTTGACTGACAAATAGCCTGACTCGCAGTGGAGTGCTGCTACATCGACTGAGGGTTTGGTATGGGTCAGCAACCTTTTCATTCATTATTCTTCGTTTTCCCTCATCGTTTTCTAAAAATGCTCACTTAAATTAGGCTAGCAAAAAAAGTGAGCAATTGCGCATATAAATATGCTATAGTAGATATATATATATATATATATTTGCCGACCTCAAAATCTTTTAGGTCGGCATTTACGTCGCCATTGCCGAATGCTGACCCTAATTCCGAGGGTTATATATATATATATATATATATATATATATATATATATATAGATAGATAGATATATATATATATATATATATATATATATATATATATATATATATATATGTATATATATATATATATATATATATATCTATCTATCTATATATATATATATATATATATATATATATATATATATATATATATATATATATATATATATATATATATATATATATATATATATATATTATATATATATATATATATATATATATATATATATATATATCTATCTATCTATATATATATATATATATATATTTATATATATATATATATATATATATATATATATATATGTATATATATATATATATATATATATATATATATATATATATATATATATATATATATATATATATATATATATATATATATATATTGGCAAATTTTTAGTGAATTTAAACATAATGATGTATATTGTCTATCTTATAGCCTTAATTGCAACGGAGTGTTGCTACATTTACTATCTTATAGTTTTAATTTAAAAGCCAATATTTAAAAAAATCCTATTTTCAATACTATTTTCTAATTTTACTAGATTGTGGATCAGATTAATAATAGATTAATTTTGATTGACCTGATTGATTAACATTGATTGACCTAATTGAATAATATTGGTTATATTACTTGAACGTATCACAAACTCTCAACACATGTTCTATTCATACTAAACATAATGTTGAAAAAAAGGTTTAAAACAATTTTTTTGATTAAAAATTGATAATGAATGCATAAAAAGAAAAACTAACCTTGTTGTTTTAGCCAAAGTTTGCCTTCTTTATGTTACTCTGACTTTAGAGTCTTTAAATTATACGTTGCAATCTACAGATTTTAGCGTTTCCTTTGCAGCGCTTTTAATTCATAAATGTTTTAGTATTTGACGTCACTTAGTAGACTTTTGACGAAAAAAAAAAAAAAAAAACTCTGGAAAAACTTTTATTTATTTTTATTCATAAATTTTTTCATTATTTGTTTTAACATTTAAAAAGATATTTAAAACCTTAAATACTTCATGCTGGTTTGTTGCTGTAAATTGTTATTGCACTATAATGTTAATAAGTAAGGAATATTTATTATCTCAATCAAAATTCTGATAAAAAATTTGTTTTATCTTATTTACCCGTATAAAATTAGTAACAGCATTTTTTTATTTGGTTAAACAATATTTTGTCTGAATTTGCTTTGCGCGAAATCCGGGAAGTCAAACGAAAAAACTTAGTTTGAATAATTACGTCGAAATATATTTAAAACAAATGTTGGGAGTTTCAAAGTCTTTTCATAATAAATGTAGGTAAAAAATAAGTAACTAAATAAAAAGTTCAATATTAAACATCTTTTTTTTTATTATATTGCAACTGTAAATATTGAAATGTTAACTTGAACTAAATTTACTTATTATTTAAAACAACTAAGGAATAAATTAAAAGCCTCTCAAATTATGCGATATTGTGTTGTTTATTTGATTATTTTTGTCGGTAATGTTGTTTATGTTGTTTACTTTTATCAATATCGAAATAGTCCCAGATAGGACTGTTAGTTGCTGTGCTCATTTATTTCTAATTTAATTTTATCTTTAAGTTTACTTCTATGTTAAGTAAGAAAACTTTTTATTTCATTTTGCGCTCTTTTTATATGAGTAGAAGCGAAGAGAAAAAAAAGTTTCAGGCAATTAAACTTTGAATGAACAAGAGTTGTATAGAATATTTTTTTTTTTGCGTCCCTGGCTCTTTTTCAGATAAGAGAAATAAAAGTTTAATTGTAACTCTTTGAATAAATGGGTATTGGAAGAGGAAATTGCTTAAAAACTTGTAAATGTCAATTTTGTTAGTTTTTTAATTTTCTATGTTAAGAGACAAATACAAATGCCAAATACAATCCATAAATTAAGAAATACCAAATATAATAACTTTTTCAATGTGCGATAAAACATTTTGATAAAATAAATTACGATCTATCTTGAATTATTGCCATTATTTAATGTGTTAATTATTGCGTTAATTCTAATTTGTCCCTATTTTTGTTAAATGTTAATTGCACAAAACAGGTACTTCATGTTTTTAATTTGATGGTTATAAAATATTGAACAGTAAACTTATAATCAAAATTTATAGTGCTGACTTGTGCTGTTATTGGTTGTACTTGTAATGCAAAACCAGGATCTCACATATTCTTTCACAAATTTTCCTATCTGTATTGTTTAGTGTATTCTTGTACTTTTTTTTCATAACCTTAACAGGTTAATTGGTATGGAATTTTCGACATTTTAAAAGTTTCGTTATCAAAAATCAAATGCAAAATATAATAATATTTCTTATTTAACCATATCAAATTTAGCAAATTTAGTGATTTAAATTATATCAGATAATCAAAAAATTTATATAATAAAAAAATTTAACAGTTCTGCACTCTCTTGCACAAAAATTAGAGACCATATGTAAAATCTTCTACATAATGTAAAATACTTATATGAAAATCATAAGATTAGTAAGTAAAGCTTTATATTTGTTTCAATTTAAAAACAGTAGAAATATAAGTAAGATATATAAATCTGAATATTATCAAGATATCTGTAAAAAATAAGTTGCTCCTATATAATAAAAATAATTAATACTTTACACAAAAAAAATTTTTTTGTGATGTTTGGAAAAATAATACAAATAAATTTATGTTGCTGTATGTTAACAAAATTCTACAACATACTTTTTGAATTAAAGTAGAAAAACGCAACTTTGTTTAATTACATTTTTTAATTGTCAAAAGGCTACCATGTCGTCAAATACTAAAACTTTTATGAATTAGAAGCGCTTCAAAGGAAATCCGAAGTCTGTAAATTGTGACGTATAATTTAAAGACTCCAAGTTTTTGAGTAAAATAGAGAAGGCAAGCTTCGGCTAAAAAAACAAGGTTAGTTTTTTTTTTGGTATGCATTCATTATTTATTTTTAATCAAAAAAGTTTGGTTTAAACCTTTTTTTTCAACATTATCTTTAATATAAACACAACATGTGTTGGGAGTTTGGGATCCCTTTAATAAAACTAAAATATAAAACCGAACAAATTTACAGTTTTCTGTTCTATTATAACTGACCATTGTTGCATAAATGCAATAATGTCAGTTATAATAGAACAGCATTGTTGCATAAATGCAATAATGTCTTTTTTCTTACTATTTTCCATTGATTTATTACATTTTCCATAAGTATAATGTAAAATTTATTGTACAGATAATCTGAGTAGTTGGAGTTTATGGAGTGATTGTTCAAATGCTAAAAACAGGACAAGAGGTCGTTCATGTGAGGATAAGTATTTTGGCAAAAATTGCACAGGAGCTATAGAAGAAAATAGTCAATCATGTCCAGGTAATATAAATTTTTGTTTAAAAAAAAAGTTATTTTTGTGTTTTATAGATTTTGGTATTTTAGTAATTTTTTGAAATTAATGGAAAATCAGTTAAAGATGTGAAATAAGTACACACAAGTTCCATTACCAGTTATAATATACTAGCTAAGGTAAATGCTCACATAGACTCTGTTCCAAAAAGTGATCCTATGGCTGTAAAGCAAGATAAGAGTCATTGTTGTACTACTAAAAAATAAATAAAAACAGTAAACAATAATCAAGGAAAGTAAGAGTCATTGTTGTATTACTAAGTTGTTGTTAGTGTCGAGCGTAAATGTGATGTATAGACAGAATTGGTAATGGAATAGAATTATTTGTTTTATAAGTAGTTACCATGTGGTCTGTATTATTAGGGTGATAAACATACATTATAGATATAAATTTGTCATGAACGTCTCGAGTACAGTATGGATTCGTGTCTTATGGTACATTATGAACACATGAAGACTTCTAGCTTTCATCCTAGACAGGTATCCCAATAGAAGTTCTACTCTGGGTTTACACCAGGGTATCTTTTTGAGGTAACCCATTGTGTTATCCAAAAGGACTATTCTCAGACAATTCTGTCAGGGCAATTGCCACAGACTTCTGAATTGACACTGAGACTAGAGGGCACTAAGTGGGGTTCAGTACAACTTGTAAACAATAGTAAGGAGTTTTTTGACATGAGTGTCCATAAGTGCAGTGGTTTGTTACAATATAACATGGGTCAGTGAGAGTTTGAACTGTTTTGAGTTCTTATAGCTATGTGTGTAATTTAATTAGTCAATGTAGTGTATGTGTGTGTGACCACTGTAGTAGCATGTCTTGATAGTAAGAGTTATCAGTATAAAAAATAGTTGAAAGTCATTTATATTGGTTTAATGGCTAGATGTGAATACTAGTAGTCCTATGACGTGTGTCTTGAAAATAAACAAACTATTACAACTAGATGATCTAGAATATTTAACTTGAATTACACCAATATAGCAACAAAAACTTGTATATAAATTTTTCAATTAATAATCTGTATATATATAATACAACTAATACTTGAAAATCATATGGAGTTTTGTAGCAGGTAAATGTATGTGGTACAAAAGTATGTTTTGTAATATGTATAAATAAAAAGATTACCAGTGCATGAGTCATGTGACTAATGTTACAAGGAGTATTCAAAGTCGAGTAGAATAATTTGTTTTATAAAAAAGTTAGCAGGTAGTCTTTAGTCAATTAACCAAACTGTTTGTATAGCATGGCCTGTTTTGTGTTTAATAATATTCATATTGACTTATGCCTTTAGTCTTAGTGTGAGTTGGTACTATTTTTAGAAACTATTGTAAAAAAATTTTGTTTATCGTCAAAGCTCGCTTTTCTCAGGTCATTAAGTCTAGTATTTTTTTCAAAAATTAGGCAACATTGAATGAGAGAGATGGGGGTTGATGTTTTGAACCCCTCCTCCTCCTCCCCTAGTTAAAAGGGTGCCACAACAATAGTTTTTAATCATTTTTTCAATAACCATTATTGTTTATCTTGTTTAGTTTTATGCTGTAATAAGATGTTGATTTAAAGGCATTTTTTTTGAATTTACTGGATTTTTTGAATTTTTATGAATTTACCAGTGGGCGATGTTGCTTTAAATTCAATAAGAATACTATTTTACGTAAGACTTTAATAAACGCTTTTGTTGCAAATTTACACTATTAGTAAATAATTATTGAAAATTGTTTAATGTCTTTAAAACATTTGATAACTATATTTTTGTAAATTTAATTTTAGTAGTTATTAATGTTATCAATAATTAGTAATTAAATGTTCAAGTATTTTAAACAATTTTTAATCAATATTTACATTACACAATATATTTATATATATTAAATCGCATAATATTTATGAAGTTAACAAAATAATTTTACATCTTGTATTTCAATTAAAAACAGAAGCATTTAATAAACAAACTCAATAAGCATTTAATGTTTATTAAACGCTGTATTTAATAAACTAATTGAATATATAAACTAAGCATTTAATAAATTTATTTATTATTATTTTAACTTTAAAATTTTGATTTAAATATTACCAAATCTGTTCTACTAAAGGGTAATAATTTTTAAAATATTTTTATGGTGCCTTTTAAATTAAAGGTAATTAAAGAAGAGATTACGGTAAAAGGTCATCCATTAAGTACATACGTTAAAAATTCTGAAATTTGAGACCCCCTCCCCCTGTTGATATGCGTACTTTTAAGTCCCCACCCCCCACCCCCTCTTAAAAAGTACGCCTGTTTTTCATATACCCCCAATTTTTTTTTTTTTTAATTAAAATTTATTTCAATAAATTTTTATATAAAAAAAAAATTTTGGGAGGGGGGGGAGGAGTGAAAGACATATATAGTATTTATACGCCCTTTGTTAGCGGCAAAGGATCCCAATTGGCCGAGTGGTTAATGTTATGGAAAGTGACAGCAGAGACCCGAGTTTGATTCTCGGTAAAGTTTTATTTTACTTTTTTTGTTTAATGAGACGCATAAAATAAAAATAAACTATACTTAAGGCAGACAATTTTTTCAGGGACCCTTCTTTAGTAAGTCCATAAAAAGCAAGTCTTACGTGAGAATAATAATATTAAAAACAAAGCTTAAAACCTAGTGCTAAGTGGAGGCTATCCAAACTCCGTAATTAGAGGGAATGGGATGTTGTGGGGGAGCAGCAAATTTTTTGCCCTTTTGCCATTTTAAGGAGCTTTTTATTTTAGCAAAAACGGTAAAATTTGGAAGATTTTGAGACGCTAAAACAACACATTTTTTTTGAGAGGGAGGGGAGAGGTCTGCAACCCATTAGCCATTGCAATTTTAAAACCTGTTTTTTGCATGCATGCCACCCCTTATATACTGGCCCTGATTATACTCAGGGCCAGTATATAAGGGGTGGCGTGTGTGCATAAGCGCCTGCAGGATTTTTTGATGTTCAAGATAGGGCACTTTCACACATTGTGCAAACTCCAAACTTAAGTATGTTTATACCTATGCCAAATGAGGAGACCTGTGAACAAATAGCCCTGAAATGCTTGCCCCCCTGCTTAAACGTGAGGGCACTTATGTAGTTAAATTTTTAACTTAACGATCTAAAACTAATTTCAAATTTATCAACAGAATTTAAATTTCGTTGAAAAATATTGTAAATTACAAAATTTATGTTGATACAAAATGTACAGCCCCTCATTTATTTATTATTTAGGTGGGAGGGGGTTGAAAAATTTTATTACATTAATGCCCTCACCTATTGGCAGGGGAGGGGATGCAAGCATTTAAGGGCTTTTTTGTTCCCAGGCTATCGCCATAACAATTTTTTGTCTCTTTAAATGGCATAGGTATAAACATACTTAAGTTTGGAGTTTGCACACTGTGTTGAAGTGGTTTATCTGAAACATCAAAAAATCCTGCGGGCTCCCATGCATGTGTGTGCATAGAGAGAAACTATACCTTCTACTCCCTATAAAATTCATCTTTTTATGTTAGCAAACTAGGATCTTTAGTCAGAATTTTAAGTTTTCTATTGACTAGCTGATTAGATGTGTAAAATTAGAAAATCGAAGAACAAACTTTTAAATTAAACCCTCCTCCCCCTCCTTCCCATACGCTTTCTTACGCTTTTTGAAGACCTCCCCCCTCCCCCTATGAACGCATGTACTTTATGGACAACCCCTAAACATAATTTCAATAAAGTTATACTTTTTTGATTAAAAAGCATATATTTGAAAAAAAAATATTTTTAAAAAAATCTTTTTTTTTAATCATTAACTATAATTTAAAAAAATTATGTTTATTAAATAAAATTCTTTTACTATGGGTTATTTAAACAGATTTTAATAAAACTTTTATTAAGTTATAAAAGTCTTTATTTTTTTTTATTTAAAAGTCAAAAAGAAAATCGAAAAAAAACAAAACAGTCTAAAAAAGTTTACGCTTTAAGTTTTTGTTTTCCTCACGTAAATTAAAATAGCAAGCTAAAGATTAAAAGTTCATTCATTCAAAAATTAAGCTAGCGCATAAGTTACGGCAGTTAGTAACCAAAGGCCAATTATGTCACGTAGTTATCTAAAAAAGTTTTTACATTTTCTTTTTAATTCATTTTATTGTCCTGAAGAAAAAATGAGGAAGCTAAAATAAATTGAAAATGATTTATATATTATTATATTAAAAACTGAAATTTTTTTTTCTAATTTTCATAAAAAAGCTAAAGAAAAATTAAAAAATAAAAGTATTTTTGGGCGCTATTTTTGGGCGTCCTTACCAGTCAAACGGTACTAAGACATGTCTAGGTTCTTCATACCAGTCAAATGGTACTAAAATGTGGGTTCTCCATACCAGTCAAATGGTACTAAAACACGTCTGAGTTCTTCACTGCTGTTATAGTCTTGCAAAAGTGTTCTCTGGAGCTGTTGTCATTACTTTCAAAACTATTTAACAAGTGCATATCAGAGTCTTGTTTTACAGTCTGCTGGAAAATAACATCTATCCCTATTTTCAAAAATTCTGGAGAGCGATTTGATTTGTCTAACTTCCGTCCCTTTAGTCTTTTTCCTATCATAAGCAAGGTTTTTCAATCTTTAATTGACAAACACTTTTTTCTCATTTTGAATGCAACAACTTACTTTTGATCATCAATCTGGATTTTTTTTTTATATTTAATAATAACTGGTTTTATTTTGCTTTAGATAGAGGTGGAGAGGTTAAGGCTGTCGCTCTTGATATTTCTAAAGCTTTTTATAAAGTTTGGTTCTGTTTTAATCCTCAGCTCTATACTCTTTTTAATTTACATTAACGATCTTCAAGATATTCTCACTTTTAAGGTTGCATTGTTCACTGATGGTACTGCCATTTATTATTGCCTTGATATGAAGCCAACACTATCTGATTGCTCAGAGGGGGCATTTGAGCGTGAGAAGGATCCCATTTCTGCTACAACATGGGTCTCGCAGTGACTGGTGAACTTCAATTGAGATATAATCCAATTTTTTTCAGTCAATCATTATTGGAATAATTTAAATCTTCCTATTTTTATAAACAGTAATGTTCTCAATGAGTTGTCTATCCTTCATCTTTTAGGGTTAAATCTTATTTTTCGATCTTTCTTGAAAACCATATATCAAATCCATTACAGAATTAACATCTGCTATGTTGTATCTCTTTATTGAGTTCGACACTTTCTTACTCCTGTTTCTATACTTTATCTCTATAAATCTCAAATCTGTCCTTGTATGGAATACTTTTGCCATATCTGGGGCAGAAATTTCATCTAAACTAAAAGAAAGGTGATGTAGTGAAGTGGTGCTAAACAAAAGCACATAAAAGAGTAGTCTGTGGATTCAAATCTAGTTTCCAGAGAAATGGGTGAATTCTTACAAATGTAAATGCCCAGGCTAAGCATATGACTATTGGAGTTTTTACAAATTAATGAAAGATAACCATCAACACTAGGTTGGTCAACAGATAGAATCTGTTTACCCCATAAGTCTTTGCCTAGGAGGCCTTCTACAAGATAGCAGCCGGATGCATTTAATATCTTCCCAAGATGAGTATTTTTATCGAGATATCATCTCTAGCCTTTACTCAACCAAGAGCCCCAATGCAGGGGTTGTTTTAAGTTGGACTTGGCATCTCCTAG